AAGTTTAAACCTACGAGTTAGAGGTGCGAGATGAAATTATTCATATATGAGTTCAAATTTACAAAAGCAAGTTCAAAAGCTTAAGGAAAAAGCAATAAAGAACAGACAGAGCTCGATGTGCAGAAGTGAAGAAACGAAGATTTCATTGATTAAATGACAGAGCTAAGGCTTATATACCTTGTAGCTCTACCCAAATACTTACACAAAAAAAAAACAACAACAACACAAAACAAGTAAAATAGGCTGGAAACCTCAGCTACTTCTGAGGTGGGAGGACAGCTCGCCTTGGGAGTCCAAAAGGTTGACCTCCTGTGGACCCGCCCTGCTGCGAAGGGACCTCCTCCTGGGTGGTGCCGACCTCGACCTGCTCTTGACTAGGAGCATCTTCTTCCTCGAGATCAGAGTAGTCAGAGTCCAGCTCTCTAACGTACTTTTCCACCAAAGACTGGGGGCCAGGGGTGCTGTTAGGCCCAGACGCCCATTTTTCAGCATACTTCTTCTTTAGCTGGCTGAGGTCGATCTGAAGATAAGGCATGTCGGCAGTGATGCCCTTCATCAAGAACTTGAAGCCTTCACCACTGAAGTTCTTGGCAAACCCATTAAAGTATGGGTGTTGCCTGAACGCTTCTTCCAGAAGAGCTCCGTCGGTGAGGCGTACTTTCTCCACCTTGAGCTCGCCAGTAGACGCCCTATCACAGCCTCCTTCGCCTCGAGGGCCTGGAACATGTCGTCCTTCTCCTTTAAGAGTTGGAACTTCTCCTTCTCCAGTCCTTTAGTGATGGCATGGGCAGCTCGGAAGTGGGCCTTATGCCTCTCGTCCTCCCTCTTCAGCAGCTCGGCCTTGGCTTCCACCTCGGCCCTCAGGATATCCACCTCGGAGCGAGCCTTCAGTAGCTCGCCCTTCATTGTGGTGGCAGCCTCTAAGGCAGCAGAGGAGTTCTCGTTCTCCTTTGCTGCTAAAGCCTCCCTTCCATCCAATTCGGCCTTTATCATAACTGCCGAATGAATGGAAGCAATGAATGCCTGCGAACACAAAAAGTACACAAAGGTCAGACCAAGCCACAAGTTGGTAGAACAAAATTAGTGTAGGAGCAGGTTTTACCTCGGCAGCATGGTCAATGGTCCTTTGCAGCACGAACTCAGGGTCACTTACAAACTTGGACGCCCTTCTAAGGCAGCGGTCCAAGCACGCAGCCGAGATGCGAGACACTTGGTCCTTCACTCCGGAGCTCGACGATTCCATTCTGTACCGCATCTTCACGTCTGACGTCCCCCCCATCCGAGCATCGGGGTCGTCCACCAAGTTGGCATGGCTTGTGGGCAGTGAACCACGAGGTCCAACCTCCGAGGAGGAGGTGGTTTTCTTCTTCTTCTTTCTCATCTTCAAAGGAGAGTCTTCCTCACTTCGCGCAGAGGCGACACGTCCAGCGCTTCGGACTCGTTCCTCGAACGCTTTTCTCTAGAGTGTTCCCCAGCAGAGTCCAACTCGATTACCGGAGTTAGAACTTCATAAGATGGCCCAGCCTTGTCCTGAACCGCAGGCTAAGCCACAGCAGGAGTCGTTGGCTCCGTGCTTTGAACAGTCTTAAGGGCGTGAGCACGACCCTTAGACTTGCGCTTCACACTGCCTGTGAATCCGCACACCATTGCTGCAATGCAAATAAAGAAAAATGTCAGAAATGGAAGTTGAAGTAAAAATTTGAAGTGAGGCCGAGCTCGACTTACCAAGCTCGACTTACCAAGCTCATAGTTTGGCCTTGAAGCTTCAACCGGACGCACCAATGGGTTGTAGTCTAACAACCCAGATTCCAGAAGCAGCTTGTCAGTCACCAAGATTCCGATCTTCCTGCCCTTGGAAAGTGATCCTTGTAATACTTAAGGGTGTCGAAGGAGGCTTGAGTGAGCTCGGGAATTGGTCTGATCGACACTGCACAAGATAGAGAAGAATTCAAGTTAGATATGAAAAGTTAGAACAGAAAGATCTAAAGTTGCAGAGAGGAATCATAGCGACCTCATACCTAAATTCTCAAACCTAACAGGCACGTCAAAGAAGGGACGACTTGTCTCGTTCTTTGCCAGCCACTCACTAGAGGCAAAGAACCATTTCCCCACCCATCCTTTGATGGAGGTCGGCCCTTTGACTATACCACTTGCGCCTTTCCTTGCGCACATATAATACCGACCCGGCTTCTTAGCTATCCTCTTGGCCTCGAAGCACCCAAGAAGCTGGTCAACATTCAGTAGCTCGACCTCGTCCTCGTCCTCGTCCCGAGCTCGCAACCAGAAAAAGATGGCCAAAGCAAAAATGACACCCCATCCGTTGGGGGCCACTTGAGCAGGTGCCAGTCCAGTTCGGTTTAAGACTTCGTGGGCAAAAGGATGAAGGGTAAGTCTGAGGCCGTACTCAAACATTTTTAAATAAAGAGTGACCCATCCCTCTGGAGGATTGTCAGCTCTTTCCCCTTCCTCCGGAATCCTAGGAAGGATATCATTAGGAATGCTGAACCCCCTACGGAGGAGTCCGAGGTAATGCTCAGGCAGCTTTGAAGGGTATTCCAAACCCAGGCCCGAGGTGGAAGTGTCTCTATCCTCCCCATCATCAGAAAACCTAAAATTTTCTATCTCTTCCAGCTCGGATTCTAACCTAAGAGCTAAGTCCTCTCCAGAGTCACTTGGTTTAGGGGGCAAACTGCTTATAGTTCAACCTGCGCTATCTAAACTATCACTACTGGAGGGAGAAGACATGAAGACCACCATATTCAAAATAAAGATTAAAATAGGGAGAGTGACTGACCTACGGAGGGTTCGAGCTGGTTTCAGATCAAACTCCAAAAATTCAGGGAACGTAAGGTTTGACCTGAAGTCTCGGAGTTATTTATAGCTAATCGAAAAAACCTTTACACCGTACACGTGCAATGAGCGAGCGGCTGGGATCATCTCAAGATTTGCAACGACGAAATACTTGAGTGCTCCGACAGCTTGGCAGATCGAAACGTCTTCCACAACAGTCACATTTTTTCTATGAATTCGGAGTCACCACGTGTCCAAAATTGAGTCGAGTAACTTCTCTGCCAGATCGAGATCAGACCTGACATAGAGGGGGCCAGTGTTTGGGGGTGAAAAATACCTTGGACACGTGGAAGACGCTCATTGGTATTCAAGGAATAAAATATCCCAGGTTCACCTCGAACCTGCCAAGGAGATCGGGTTCGCCCATCATGGGGTTAGTGTAAAAAGCCCCGGTTCGACCTGGATGGGTTCGATCTGCTCAAACCCGACAGGTTCGACATGAAAAAGGACAAAGGTAATCGCCAGTCGTGAGTACTGTTGGACCCGCCACCTATAAATAGAGGGCCTCATTTCACGCTCAGGTATCAAATCTCACCTCGAACTTAATATTGAGTCTGACCTATACTGACTTGAGCGTCGGAGAGTTTGCCCTCCTATGCAGGTTCACTCTTGAGTTTAGGTCGAGCCGGGACCGGGTTCGAGCTTGGTTCGTTAAACAGCGTTGTGCAATTCTTTGCATAAACAAACTGCATTATAGATGACTGGTAATTAATTATAATCTTTTTGTTTAAAAAGTTATAGGTTTTTTATTAATTGTTATTAGGAGAGAAAGAAATTATAATAAGTAAAAATATTACAATATAATATTTAATTTGGTAGAAATGAAAAATTATGAGAGCATTGAGATTAGAACAAAGAACCTCTAGATCTGCGAGATGGTAACCACTCATTACTATTTTTAATTGGTACATTGGAGATAGCATGCGAATTTTATTTTTTATTTTTTATTTTTATCATTATTATTATTATTAACATGACTCTATGAAGAGACAACATACCATGCTACGTAGGTGATCTTCTCAAGAGCCAACTACTACTGAAGAGGACTTGAGATCTCCGTGATGGACAAATTTCTAAAGAACTATATTTTTTAATAAGTTTCAAATTAACATTATTTTAAAAATAAATTTTTTGAAATTGGAATATTGAAATCAGAAATTAACGTCGAAGTTGTTTAAAAAAATATATATATTGAGCAATAGGACCGTGCCACGCCAAGTACATCTTACTGAACACGTGTCAATCACGGAACCGGAGTACTGTAGTCTTAGCCGCACCCAATACTTAACCTCTGTCTTAACAACGAAGACACGATAAGATCCAAACGTCAAACAGACCATACCGATTATTTTACAAATTCCGTGACCGTCTTTATTTTCCTCCCAAGAATAAAATTAAAATTAAAATTAAAAACGCTTCTTAAAACCCTGCCGATAGCGGAAGGAGCTCTCCACAAGTTCTCTAATGGCGGCGAGTCTGGGAAATCTGCCGGAAGAAGTGATGATCGAGATTCTGTCGAGGCTACCGCCGGAGTCTCTTGTCCGATTCAAGTGCGTACGCAAGTCCTGGTACGCCCTAATCAACAACCCTAATTTCGCCACAAAACATTTCGCCAATTTTCCCCAATCCTCCACCACTGTTCTTCTCAAGCGTCTCGTCACCGAGGAATCTGGCAACAAACAAAATATGTTCACATTCCTCAAATTTCCCCTCCACGATCATCAATCGGCATCCGTTCTGGACTTCGATTTGCCATTCGATGAGAATTTTCAGTATTTCGAATTCCGCGGCCATTCTCACGGCTTAGTTTGCCTATCCGACCTCCGCAGCGATATTATCCTCTGCAATCCGGCCACCAGGGAGTTCCGCAAGCTCCCGCCGTCGATCCTTCTCCTCACCGAACCCCCGGAGGAGCCC